GGGGGGTGTACTCATAGTCGTGCATGCCGTAGTCGTTAGACCATTGACCTCGCATCCCTACAAAGCCGGGACGGAGCACGCCGGGTTCTCACCGGACCAGGCTCTCACATCACCAAGCGCGAAGCGCCGTGAGATATTCGGCGAGTCGCATGAAGGGTGCGCTGCATCCTGCTAAGGGTGTTCGGCATCTTGTGCTTACTTCCTTGCGTACGGATGACAGCTGCGTATGAATTAATTTATTTTCTGGTGCTTTCACTTCCAGAGACAGTTGTAAGCACTGTGTAACTGCCTCGAGGGTGCTTGACCATTTTAACACAACGTGGTGCGATCATCCCCCTTGCGCGGAGCGAGGGTTCTCCACCCCGCACAACATGATCTACTCGACCACCATTATGGTTACCGCCAAAAAAAAAAGTAAAAAAAAAAAGGTAACCTGGTTGCCGAGTTCACGAAGTGAATTGGCTTGTTGTACAACGTCATTGCCAGGCGACGAAAACCCAACCCCGATGGCAAACACCGGGGGGGTGGGGGTGGAGGGAGATAATTAAAGTGACGATTGGCTCTACAACGAGCAGGGAAAAACGCTGAAAAAATGGGCGGGAGGAGCATTTGGAACGCTCCTCATGGGCAGTAAGACAGACCAACTGTAGGTTGTTTGCTCTTGGTGGCTTCCTTTCCGTTCGTGGACAAAAGGTTCACCGAGACCGGGAAGTGGTTTTCAATCGTCGTCGGGCACAATCGGTCGATACAATAATAGCGAACAATCGTACGTTTCGTTTCAAGTTACGACAAACTTGAAATTGATGCACGAGGGAAGATGTCACATGCCACAAAACTTACACATACCTTAGAGAAGTTAAGCCTGATGAATCCGGGACCACTCCCAAAACCATTTCTGTGCACCGGAAGTGGCTTGCCGCCGCCAAGTTCGGCGGTGCTCCCGTACAACGAAAGCACGCCAGTCAGATCTTCAGCAGGGACATGCGCGACGACGTCTATTCCTAAGGCGATCAGCACCTGATCGACGAGTGTAATGACAAAAGCACGGAAGCTGACCCCAAGCACCAGAAGATATTAACTTTGATGCCGCCAAGATACCGACGCATCCGCGCGAGGACAATGACGGAATTCTAAGGATGACGGGAAAATCTTCCATCTATCCTGACATCTGAAGCGGGCTAGGTGATAGCGGTTCACAAAGTAGGGTTTTCAAAGAGTATTGCTAACAGCAGACGCGCCGACTCGACAAAGCCAGAAACGGCGAGGCAGGGGGGTGAGATATCAGAACTCTCCTTCTGTGAGTGTCGAGGCCGATAGCCTTCCCCCTTAAATAAAACACGGAAGAACGTCCCCCGAATGCTTGGGAGTTGTGTATCCCTTCCTGTCGCTTCACTTGGTAACGATCGACACATCCGAGAAACCCGGCTAGAACGTTCAAAAAGCGCTAAGCTTCAAAACTGTCGCCAACTGGTACGCGATATTTTTGGTGGCCCCGGACACGCACGCACACGTGCTATCACCTTCTTGGCCAGAATTTGGCAGTCGTAGTGGGACCCCTCCGAGCCGATTCCGAGAGGGGGGGGAAGCTCTCTGAGCAGGTCCACGAGCTGACCGGCGTAAATGGATGCATATTCCTTGGTGTAACGGTAAGCGTGGGCCATCCACGCTTGCTTAAACTGGTTGACTTGCTCGATTGCAACGCCGGCCTGAAAGAAGACAAAAGATCGATGCGGTTTCCATCAAAAACGTGTTGTTGAATCCGAAGAAGGTTAGGGATTATACATCGACGATCCGCGTCGTGGATCCAACGGGGGGACTCGTAGCAGAAAATACGGGCAGCCCCCCAATCACGAACATAGCGGGGCAGAACGAAACAACAGGAATTGTCAACGAGTCCTCACCCACACACACTGTTGGGACATTCTCACCCATGCCCTGCAAATAGCATGCCAACGAAAACCCGGGGTCAGCGGGATAACGAACAAACCATTGCACGAAAATCTTCACCAGGAAAAATGTGGCCCGCCCCTGGTTTCCCGTCTCCCCCTACCTTGTCGTAAGAGTGAGTCTTGTACTTGAACAGGAGCGTGATCATGAAGAACTGCACCAGCAAGAACCTCGTCAGGAGCGCGTAGCTTCCGAAGAACATCACCACCGCCCACTTCCACTGGGGGGACGTGACGTCCTCGTAGCGCTGCATCAGCGTGATCCAGCCGTTCGACCCAGGAGTTGTCGCGACGCCGATCATGGTCTGCATGCCCTGGGCAACGCTGAAAAAGCCCTGGTGCCGGTTCACGGTCTCCCAGGGGTTTCCATCCCCGAACAGCCCGGCGAGGTACGTTTCGTTCCCGAAGAAGAGCACGCCGAACACGCTCCAGAGGTAGGTGAGGGCGGTGAGCACGAGCAGCAGGGGAAAGACGACGCTGGAAGACTTGGCGATCACGAGGAGAAAGTCCTGGGCGTTCGGGAGGACGTTGCCGAGGCGGACGAGCCTAACCATCGAGGCGGCCTCCACGGCTCTCCAGAAGGACGCAGAGGACGATGGCGTCAGGTTCGAGAGGAGCAGGATCTGAGTGCACGCGCGTGAGCGTTTGCATCGCGGCACAAAACGTGAGAGTTTTAGGCGTTAGGAGGAAGCGGGGCAAGAGTGTCAAAGGAGGTGCCAACTCGAAAAGTCACAGCCGCAACGCCCATCAACTTCAGGGAGACCCCGGAAACGGGCAGTGCCTTGCTCAGGCTAGGTTACTGTGAGACGATGTTTCCAAAAAGCGACCGTACAACGCAAGTTAGTCGTTAGACAAGCGATTTCCATCAATAGGCACCTCACACACCACCCAGGTGATGATGTGCTCACCTCTTCAACAAAAACCAGCGTCAGCACGAGCGTTGAAAAGAAATCGGCCATCTGGAAATACGACCTGAGGGTGAAGTAAGTGGGGAAAGTCCGGGCGAGGATTCAAGCTTGGCTATCATTGTGCACAGTGGGAGAAGATGAAACGGAATGTGAGAGCCGGCCTGATCCTTTCGTGATGCTCGTGGCGACCAGCCGACTTCTTCACTCGACACTTGGTCCATGCACACGCAGGTTATCGTGCAACGATTTGTAGCTTGAGCTAAATCGGGTTTGTTCAACAAACCTCTTCGTTCGCGTTTGTCGGGTGGCCAAGGAACGGGCCCGTCCGTCCAGATGATGGTAAGGGTACAAAGGAGCTTGACCCTAAATCGTCTTTTTCAGGCTCGTCGAGTCATTGCATCAAGTAAAGAACATCGCGCTAGAGGAATCTTAAGATTTTGTGCGCATCGCCCGCCCCTTTACCCTCAGACCTGGTGATAGCCCGAACGCCTCCGAAAGCAATCGCTCTGCAAACCCACTCGAGCACGAACAAGGGCGCGAACACCGCCTCCTCCAGGTGAATCCAGGAGGGAGCGTCGAAGTAGTGCAACCAGTTCGAGGCGATCAGGAACCGTACGACAACGTTGGCTCCGATGAGAGACGCTAGGACGATGCCCCAGCGACGTTTGCTGGCCGCGTTGAAGAGGAGCCGCCTCACAGCGGGGGCATCGGGGGGGCAAGCAAGGATCGTGTCCGGCTGAACCTTGGCTAGCTTTACTTCGTACATGGTCCAGAACGCCTGGGTTGGGATAGTGTTAGAGAAAAAGGAAAATGGCCAAGTTTTGGAATAGGAGTGTCTCGTTCATCGCCCAGAACATCTGGTGCGGCGCTGAGACGTTTGGATGGAAAATTACAACCGGGTGCGAATGTTGCTGTCTTCTTTCGTCGTCCATTTCGCTGGTCATGTAGTTGACGTGGCTCACCTTATGGGAGGACTAACAGCTGTTAAGCAATGAAACGGGCAAAGGGTTATGCCCCTGGTGATGATAGCAGCCGCCGCAAATGTACCGCAAAGAGCCCCACCTGCTTCAGGCTGGAGAGACGCTGGCCGCTCCGCTTGGTAAGGTTGATGAACGTGTACATGGAGAACACCATGCCGACAAAGAGCAACACGAGCACCAGGGAGAGCAGGAACACGAACAGGAAGAACAGCGCGGCCCAGGTGTTGTTCCACTCACTACCGTTGAGACCTTTGTCAGCCACCCTGACGATATGTTTTTGGGGGGGGATGCAACCAATGGGCGATAAACCGTGAAGAAAACGGGATTGAGCTTCACAAGAAAAACCAAACACAGAGGCGACGAAAAGACAAACGCCAATCCTGCGCATGGTCAACCTGCTGGCTTAAAAAAACGGATTCTTAGGGTACGCAGGTGTGGGCACCACATGTCAGTATATAAGGCTTGGGGCACCTTATTTTGTGTCGGGCAATCACCCTTTTTACAGTGGCGTCAGCGGCAGGATGTCATCCCTGCAATGTAAAAGTCCTGGGTTTGAATCCGGGCACGTGAAAATGGGGTTTTCGTCCGCCGCCAGCCGGTCGGGTTCCGGTTACCGTACATACTACGGGGGGTGCGTCGTGGTACCCGCGTATTTGTCTACGATGTTGAGCTGTCCGCTCGCTCGTATCCGGGGGGGTATGTGGGCACCACATGTCAGTGTATAAGGCTTGGGGCACCTTATCTCGTGTCGGGCAACCACCCTTTTTACACAGGCGTTGTTCAATAAAACGGCTGATAAATTTTGCTCGGGTTTCGGCGGGTAGAGAGGGCCCATAAATTTGGAACGCAGTGACATGCTTTTTTGCTTGTTTCTGTTCCTTGGTGAGCGAGCTTGCTGTAGTGTCTGAGCGTCCTCTTCACAGAACCGTATGTAACCATCAACAAGTCTACATAGAACCTGTCCTACCTGGCGTTAATCGCGTTGAACATGATGTTTTGCCAGCCATCGTACGTGAAGATGATGAGCACTGACTGCAGCGCGTTCCCGAAGTTGTCGAAGTTCCAGGTGGCGTTTCCCCATTCGTAGCCTTCGGCCTCGCATTCTTGCTGCCCTTCTATTCCGTTCTCGCTCGTGTGGTACACATAGAACACTTCTTCTCCGTGTGCCTCGGCGATCACGGGATCAGAACAGTAACCAAATGTGCCCTCCCACACCTGAACGTGTCAATTTGGCATCCAACACACCCAAACGGAGCATGTCTAAGCTGCAGAGGCGCATGTTTACCAGTTGTCTGCTGTCTCGGACAACTAAACGACACAAATCAACCCAAGCAGCGATACGTGGATGTTGGTCTCCCACGGCTAACGGTGTGGGGCGAAGCAGCGTGCAAGCACACAATCGATAGAGGCTCAACAAGAAACGGCAACAACTATCGTAGTAGTGGAAGATGGCACAAGACCCACCGGAATCAAAAGAGCAGAAAAAAATGGTCTCAGGACAACACGAGTAGATACCTGGAGCCCCACGATCGCCCCCTGGAGCCAGAAGAACACAACCACTCCTCCGACGAGACACAGCGCCTTCCTTGAAGAACGGAGGGACCTCAACAAGTCCGTCAGGCTGCGCGACAGCGCGGCGAGCCTCAGCAAGCGAAAGACGTTCAGCCCGCGCAGGGCCTTCAGGGTCGACACCGACAGCAGCGTTCCCCGCCCAACCGTGCCACCGAAGCTCCACAAGCAGACGGCAGACAGAATGGTGAGAACAAAGGCGAGGACGTTGGCCGGGTCCCGGAGGTACCCCCCCGGCAGGAGGACAAGCCCCTGCGCCACTATGCACAACAGGGCATCGGCGAGAAACGCCCACACGGACGCGGTTTCGAGAAGCAGGCGCGTCATGACCACCCCCTCGGTTCGGCGCCCGGAAACCAACTCGGCGTCGAGGGACACGACGACCAGGGTAACGACAACGGCAGAGACCTGGGCGGTCTGGTAGGCGAGGCGGGCAAAGCGGCGGGGCTTCCGCCTTCGGACAAACCGCCTCCAGCAGCCCTGGTTTCCTCTCTTCGAAAGCGCTGAGGAGGCGTTCGGCCTTCCACTGCCCGCAAGCACGTCCCCCTGGGTCCCGCGTCTCACCCACCCCCCGTGCCTACCGCTGCGGGAACCCCGGTGGTGGACGGCGCCAACGGAGGCGTTTCGTTCCGACTCGATGTCCAAGGGGCTAGGGGGCACGACCGCTGCAGAGGTGGTGAGCCACCGGCAGAACTCCCGGAATCGGTTTTGAGGCCCGAAGATGAGCAGGGATTTCTTCGAGGCGGCCACTTTTTGCCACAGGCCCGGCTGCGCTGCGGGAGGGGAGTACTCGAGCAGCTTCATCTGGCCCCTGGTGGAAGACCGGTTCCCCGTGGCTTCCTCGTACCGCTTTCGCCAGGTCAAGAACGCGTGGCTCTTGTGGCACTGTATGGAAGCACGGCCATACCGGGAAGATGATGTCGACTGGGGAGGTTAAGAAACGCTTTGCCTGTTATTTTTTCCTCACCCCACTCTACTTTTGTCTCTCTGGGCTTGCTGTTGTGTACAGGGACGTTTTCTGCTTTGCGAGTGGTTGGACCGAAATTTCTGTTTGTCTCGCTTGTTTCTGGTAGTACTTTGCATCGGGCTACGGTACTCTTGTTTTTCTTGCCGTCAAATGGAAGAAAGGATTCTGAAGAGAAGCTAAGGACAAGTGCCTGTGAAGGAAACAAGACAGTAACCAAACGATACGACATAAGAAAAAGAACGAATCGATCAGAAGAACGAACGCGAACCTGCATGAAGGCGTGCTCGAGAGCGAACAGGGAGCGCATGGAGTGCTTGGCGGCTATCTTAAGGTAGTCCTCCGTATCCACGTCGATGCGATTGAAGAGTACGGTGACCACCATAGCGACCGCCAGCCACCTCGACAGGACAAGCCACGCCACGTAGAAAAAAATCCCCGATTGTTGGCCGGTTGCGGCGACTGTGTCGAACATGAGCTCGCTCCAAACGTTGCCCGTGAGAAGGTCCAGCAGCGTCACGGTTGCCTTCCCGAAGCTGTTGTAGTTGAAACGGATAGAGTTGTCTCCTTCCGATTCGACGTCCTCTAGATCACCGCCGAAGAACTGCATGCCTGAGAGTATTTTGAACGGGAAGAGGGGTTGCTCTGTCGGAGCGGGCTGGTGGGGGGAGTGATTCACCATTTCTCACCTTGAAGTTAACATACCAAGGACGTCGGCCATTGAACCGGTCATGGTTTGTGGAGCATGTCCACCTGACTAACGCTTGTGCGCTGCCAAGGACAGCGGCGGCAGGAACTGGGAGCGAAAAAATGCAGAACCAAAACTATCAGCGTTTCATCAATACCCACGCGAGAGCGGCTCGTATCCCAGCAAAAAGGCACGTCTATCAACAGGCGGGAGTGGTTACGACCATCCTTTTGCATCGCAACTTTGGCGTATCCACACGTACATACCTAGGACGGCGAAGGTATACATGAGCACAAGCTGAACGACGTAGATGTTAACAATCCACGGTATGGACGTGGTGATGATGGAGATCATCCTCCCGAGGTCGACCTGGCCGTCCATTCAGCGAACGTGGGCGTTCGAGGACTGGACGCGATGTTTTCCTAGCTCACCATCATCGCATCACAGATAGTCCGGACGTCAATGCACATCTCCTCTTCCCAACTCTCCAAAAGCAAATACACGACAGCGATTAATGAAGGACAAAATTGTGTTGCACTTTGCGTGCCAACACACGTTGAGGGAAGGCGTTGTTTCAATGGAGGCAGTGGGCTTGGAGTTCCAAAAGCCGACACAATCACCTACAAAGAACCAGACACAAGCTGATCAAGGACCTCCTCTTTGTCGGAAAATCGAAAACTGTCGGTGCAAGGCTCACGCAGGGAAGGGTGAATACTAAACACCTAGCCTACCAACTACAAGCGTTTTTGAATACACAAGAGACCACGGTATGACAACTAGAGTACAGACCATACTAGGGCCCTGTCGCCTACTTTCGCGGCTGAAATTGTTGAACAAATAGGAAGGTTTGCGGTGGATATCGACACATATGGTCAGAAAAGACTGCAAGCTGAGATTCGGGCGTGGCCGCCGGTCGTCGCAGGAGCGCCCATAAAGTGCAGGGCTAGCCCGTTCACAAGAAACGCATTCGGAAGAAATGGACACTCACATTTGTAGAAAATCAGGTAACATGGCGAAAGAAACCATGTCCAGTCGTCGGCATCACAATATATCCTATTGGATATCGTATCACAGCAACAGCCTGCGCTCGGTCGTTGAGATAGATGAGTACGGCTTCGAGTCGTACTCAAAACGGGTGTCTCTTCCGAGCGGGCCGGCTCTCTACTCAAAATCATCTTCGTCGTTTTGCACGTTAACCGTCGCTCGCGTTTTCTACTTTTCCTACAACCATGCCTCTCAACCTGAAGACCTCCGATCCACGGTCGCGGTGCATGCCTGTGATTCTTAACGCTGTGAGAGTTCAGTCGTCCTTCCGTCATGAGAACTCGCGAACACATGTTCTCGGCTACTAGGTACGAGGTGCGGAAACGAGTCCCCAACATAGCCCCGTGACAGTTGAGGATTGATGGTCTGAAAAGGCGAAGAAAATACGCAAATATGTATTTTTTGCGAAACGTGTGAACATGATTTGACATTTACGGGGAAGTTGTTCAGTTCGTGCTAACCTGAGGGGAGGCGTTGAACTTTTTCCGGCCCAGCTTTCCCAGCGACGCCAGCCGGAATACCCTTGCGATGCGGAAAATCCGAATGACCCGTAGTCCGGAAACAAAGCCGCCAACCTTCGCCAGATCAAAAAGTATGAACGGTCATTTCGAGGACAACGGCGAATTATCCATATCCAAGTAAGGTGAAGCATGCGACAGTCTCTAGGGAGGGTATATGTTGTTGCATAATATGTCCCCACTAGTTTTACTCCAAAAAAGGTACACAATGCCAGAATGCTGGGGAGAGTCAACGTGTCGAGTATTCCAATTCAAGAAATATCAAGAAACGACGCACCGTGTCGATGGTTGAAGTGCCTGGAGAACAAGGATCCTACTACATAGTACGAAGTGTACCAGTGGAGAGCTTCGGGAACTACGAGCAGCTGCTTGTGCAAAATAGAACGAATTTCCGCAAACACTCGAAGGTAAAATCCTTCTTTCATGTATAATGGTGCCGGTTGCCTGCGAAAAGAGCGATACTCACACACAACAGAAAATTCCGAGCGCAAGGGGTCGTGGCAGTTACGGACCAACCTGAAGGGTAATCTCGATCAACCCCAGCCAAGTGATCGCGAAGTCAAAGATGTTGTAGCCGTCTCTGAAGTATCCGATGGGTCCCAGGAGCCCCAGCTTGATAGACATCTCCATGACGAAAAGACAGGTAAAGGCCTCGTGAAGCTGACACAGATAGTTGAATATCACCCACGTGCATACAATCAGAGGGCGTTAGCCAGAAGATTATTGATACGCGATGGAGTCTATTCACGAAAACAAAGCGAAGAGTATCCAATAGAGTCGGCAGCACAATATTTTACGGCATGAAATGCAGATCTTCTAAAATCAGAAGGAGCGCAATAGAATGCGCGAGGTGTAGCACTCATCTCCATCTTTGTCTGATGTTGCTGCAGCACCGTTCGCAGTCCTGCACAACCTTTGGGGCGTTCGAATCTGCTACTTTACACCCTCTGCGCGAGATGACCATCACTGTCTCCCCCAACCCAAACCTTGTCCTGTTCCCCCGCCTAGACGGCAATCCAGTCATGGTATGTCTTGCGTTGGACTAGTTCAACGAGAGTTTTCCCTCATGCACTTCCATGTTTGTTCGTTTTCGATGTGTTCTAGGACGTGTCTTGCTTGTCCTTCTGTTGACGATCACACGTTCCTGGCAAGGTTTTTTTGAGTGTATCGACTAGATACTCTCTGTCCCAACTATCGGAGACTACCACCCCTCACATATGAGAGCACGCGTTCTCTTCGGTCACTAGCGTGGGCGGAGTCCAGGCACAGGACCATGGCATTCAGGAAGATGACGACGTAGACAATGATCGAGAAAAGCCCCAGGTCCAACAGAATCGCCTTGCGGAGGCGGTTCATGGTCGAGTTTGCGGGAAACGGAGTCCAGCGCGGGAGTGGTGCTTCTTCTTCGGGCTTTTCTCGTACCTCGCCACGTTGCACGGCCGCCAGGCGCTCAATCGCCTGTCACGATGCGGCACGGGACCAACGAAGCGAATCGAACGCAGTTGAGGAGTAGACACAACGGTGATGCATCCAACTCGAGACAGGTATCCATGGGCGTTGTAACGTTTTGCAAACACTCAACATGAAACGTTTCGGGCTCAACGGATCGGCCTTCGATGTTTGCTCAACCATGCACTGGCGACACGACGTGGTGTTGGCGGCTTTCTTGCCTATCACCATGAAAGGACGCTACCAAAACTGTGACCGCCTCTAGCATATCGTAATTCGGCGAGCCACATTCGAGCGTGCGCACGGCTCCCGCGAAGATAGCTAGTCTGCCGGCAATTACCCTACAACACCTGCGGGACTGGTTGCCAAACGTGTCATCGTCAAGATGCACGAAGTAAGAAAACAGGTCCACGATCGAGCTGTATTTCGTTCGCAACTGGGGATAGCTAAATTGCCCCATGATCACTGGTGCTTTGGCCGGGAAGGTACGGCATCTAACACGCTCTCGACAAGTTTTGGTACACGATCGGCAAAAGCGTCTACCTCCTGATCCCTGTGCAAAAAACCTGGGCGCTATTCACAAGGGTCGGAGCGCTCACCTCTTCAGCGTTTTCTAGGCTAGAATTGACCAGTTCGTGTGAACAGAAACACGCTGTAGCAGTCTCTCCTTCATAGTCTAGACCTGGCGTCGGACCGTGTGAGCACTTTGTTTTTTACGCTACGCTTGTATCCCTTACGTCGCGAACCGGGAAGGACATGACAATGATGGACTTGAAAGGTACATACAACATCTACAATCACTTCGGAGTACGAGTTAGCAACAACATCAGCGGCTAGACCACACGCACGCACCGCTATCTCGTCGGCCTCTATCTTGGTGTACTCGTTCAAGAGCATTTCAAACTCGCTAACGCGAGGGCCATTCTTCTCCCCCAAACCCTCCCCCTTGCCCTTGTCCGCCTGGATCCTCTTCCTCTTGCGGATCTCCTCGTGGGCGATGGCGGCTTCCAGCTTTGATGAAACGACTGCCGGAAACATCTACAAACGGTATGTGTGCCGTTGACGGTAGGGTTTGTGTAGTTATTTATTATGCCTTTGGTGGCGATGACAAGTTGTTGTCGATGGAGACGATCGCCAATAAAAAGACGGCTTGGTGAGTACATACATTTTTTCGGCGTCAAGTAGAAGATGCTTCGACTTTCAGTGCTGGCGATTCCGCGCCCGATGTACAAGAGGGGCGGGTTTCAGCTGCTACACGAGGGGCCCCGTGCACAATAATATCGTACATACACGGTACATACCTAACGATAGACTACATACCAACCTCTCGTACTGGCGAGATCGAGTAGGATAGGCAAGAACACACCCACAGAGACCAAATCGATCAACTCACAGAGACGAGAACGACGTTCCCAAGCACGAGGAGCGCAACGAAAAATATCCACGCCTCTTCGCCGGCCGAGTCCTGCGTATGCCACATCACCTGCTGCCAACCGTCCAGCGACACCACCTGAAACGTCTGTTAACGTGCGAAGGAGCCAAATGGTCCGAATATTCACGAAATGCTATGATGGCTTTTCGACAACAGCAGAATTGCCTTTCCCCTTACAATGAGTTCCATGGTGATGTATGTTTGTGTTGCTTGGGTGGAGGAATAGGTGGTGGTACCCTTGTTCCCGATCCGAGGGCGACGGCCGTTTCTGGACTTGAATGCCCGGGACATGCGACTCCAGACAGTGATTATTGGACTGATGATTACCACCACCCGCGACCGTAGGGTCTTGTAGCGCGGAGACATTCCTTTCCACACTCTGGTGAGCACTGTCAGACCTACCACACAGGAAAGCTCTTGCACGTCGTGATTTATCGATACAACCGGTTTAGGAGGAATAAATAATCCCTCCCCTCTTGCTCCCCCCCGGTGTTTGCCATCGGGGTTGGGTTTTCGTCGCTTGGCAACGACGTTGTAAAACAAGCCGCCCCCCCCGGTATTTGCCATCGGGATTGGGTTTTCGTCGCTTGGCAATGACGTTGTACAACAAGCCAATTCACTTCGTGAACTCGGCAACCAGGTTACCGGTTTTTTTTTTTCCTCCGTTTTTTTTTTTTGGCGGTAACCATAATGGTGGTCGAGTAGATCATGTTGTGCGGGGTGGAGAACCCTCGCTCCGCGCAAGGGGGATGATCGCACCACGTTGTGTTAAAATGGTCAAGCACCCTCGAGGCAGTTACACAGTGC